ATTTAACCCACTGAACCATCTCGTTGGGCACGGTTCTTTTTTAATTTATTGTCGTTTGAGGAGACAAGTGAGTGGGCACACACACACACACACACACAGAGAGAGAGAGAGAGAGAGAGAGAGAGAGACAGAGACAGAGACAGAGAGAGAGAGAGAGAGAGAGAGAGAGAGGGAAACTGGAAATGACTTTTGTGAAAGAAAAGAGGCATTTGCCAAGATTTTTGTCTTGTTTTCTCTCTTAGCTGGTCTCGTCTGTGACTTTAGTGAACCAACTTAAAAAGTTAATGCTTTAAATGAAAACTGATAGGAAGTGACATAAATATGAAGCAACTTTCAGCATTGGGGCAATTTTCAAAGATCACATTTTAAGGAGCAACTAAATTGCAGTCGCTAGGTGCATGTAAATGGGAATGTTTCCACAGAGCCAATTTCAGAAGCTGTAGTAATTGGAAAGAAAGAATTATTTCTCATTCAGTCCTTTGTCTAATTGAACCTTAAATTTAAAAAATTACATCAAACACATAGGTAAAAATCACTGTAGATTTTTATTTTCTTCTGCCAAAACAGGGAAACCTGCCCGTTTCACGAAGTGATTTGTACTGTTCTTGAGATGCAGCTCTTGAGATGGAAGAAATCCCAGGAACTGGTTTCATGTGGCTGTTTTGTAGTCTCTCAATCCACCCTGGCTCCTGGAATAATCTGGAAGAGGCTCACTTAGTGTTTCTGAGATCTGTTCCAGAAATTTAAAACTCTGGGTCAGCCTTGGAATTGACCTTTCCATGGGTGGGAGGGAGAGTCCGTTCATTCAGATAGTAACTGACCTACGTGGGTTAGAGACAACCGAAAGTCTCTAGGAAGGTCAAAGACAAAATGGAAGCCCCGTCTTTCATTGCCAGCCTTCCAAATGTGGTTACAGCATCAAATATTTCTACACCAGGCAACTAGATAAACAAACCAAGGAGCACAGACACAGAGGCCGGAAGCCATCAAAAGAAATATACAGACCCAAGGCTCCAGAGTGGCTCCTGGGACCACTCTGTCAGCACAATGCTCTCTGTTCCATGTCTCCTTTGTGGACAAGGTGGAACACAGTGCTTCGAAATGCTCAAGTGTACATATTTTCTTAGTGTAAACTGTGGAAAACAGTTTCCAACCCTCAGGCCAAATCCTGGAATTTTCTATCAGCTTTTATTTTTTAATTAAAAAAGTTGCTTTTGTTTTGTTTTAGTTAGCATACATCTAGACATAGTTGTGCACACCTTTAATCCCAGCCCTCGGGAGGCAGAGGCAGGCAGCTCTCTGTGAGTGAGTTCAAGGCCAGTCAGGGCTACATAGTGAGACCCTGTCTCAAAAAACATAACAAAATAAAATTAGCAGACGAAGTATTCGGCTTCATTGTGGCACTTTTCAAGCAGAACTTGTTTTCGTTGATTTCCCTCCTCTTCTTCCCCACCCCCCCTTGTACCCTTCCATTCCCAGGAGCCTCACATGTGTCTCCTATCCCTCCCCCACCTCATCTGCTCATGTGATCTCCTGGTTCCATCGTATATACACATACACATACACACATAAAAGTAAAAGCTAGGATCCACATGGAGAGAACCTGTGATATTTATGTTTCTGAGCCTAGCTTAATAGTATGCCTTCCAGATCCATCCATTTTCCTGAAAATTTCACTTTCTTTCACAGCCAAATAAAATTCCATTGTGTATATGCGCCACATTCACATTACCCATTCCCTGGACATCTCCATTCCCTGGCCCTTGAGAAAATAGAGCAGAAATAAACATGGATGTGCAAGTATCTCTGTGGTATGTTAACTTCAAGTCCTTTGGGCATAAACCCAGGAACGATAGTGCTGGTCCGACAGTAGTTCTATTTTTGATTTTCTAGGGCCTTCCATATTGCTTTCCATAATCAATATACTAGCTTACACTCCCACTAGCAACAAATAAGGATTCCTCTTTCATCATCACCAGCATTTTTTACTATTTTCTTTTCTTTTTTTTTTTTTTTTTTTTTTTTTTTTGAGACAGTGTCTCCCTGTAGCCCCAGCTGGCCTGGAACTCTCTACATAGACCAGGCTGACCTCAATCTCACAGAGATCTTTTTTCATCTGCCTCCTGAGTCCTGGGATTAAAGCTGTGTGCCATCATGCATGCCTGGCTGTTACCGTCGATTTCTTGATGATCACCATTCTGACTTGGGGGAGATGGAATCTCAAAATTAGTTTTAATTTGCATTTCTCTGGTAGCTAAGGATGTTGAACACTTGTTGGCCATTTGTGTTTCTTCTTTTGAGAACTGACTGTTGATTTCATTAACTCATTTATTAACTGGCAGGACTTTTTGGTGTTTAATTTTTGCAAGTCTTTCTATACTAACCCTTTGTCTAAGCTATGGAAAAGATTTTTCCCATCCTGTAGTCTTGTCTGCTCTGTTGATAGTGTCCTTTGCTGTGCAGAAATTTGTTTTCTTGGACTGGTTGTCCACCTTTGATCCACTTAGCTAACCAATGGGGGTGAGATCCTTGAAGACCTCTAACACCCTAAGACCTCCCCTCCCCTCCAGAAATACAGATCAAGAAGTAATGAAAAGATTTTCTACTTTTAGAAAGGTTTCCAATTTTGTATGTTTGTTTTTTTGTCTTTAGTCTTCTCTCCAAGGGTCAGAACGACTGGACCTAAATTAGTACTAATGGTCTGGTTAATATTTTAAAAGCATACCCTGGAATTTAGTGCTTCAAACCTGGCTTTTAGAATTTCTTCTCCGACTTGTTCCACATTGCATCCTGACTAAAGTCCATTTAGATTTCTTCAAATTATGGGATTGTGCAAAAAGTTGGGACAGAAGCATTAAGAAGGAAGGAATGGGTTGTGAAAACTGAAGTGTGCGTGTGTGTGTGTGTGTGTGTGTGTGTGTGTGTGTGTGCATGCGCGCGTGTGTGAAGGTAGAAGAGAGGAGACTGGGTACGTATTCCAAGAAGCAGAATTTCTGTCTGTGTAGATTCTCAACCTAGGCACTAGGATTGGGGATCCAGAGAACTCATAGGATTCGCCTTAGAGATTGACAAGTAGTAGGCAGGGACAGCTGATGGAACGCATCTGTATTAGTTTCTGCTTGTTCAGGGCCTGGAGTTGTCCGAGCTACCTCTTACTGCCTTTAACATGGTCTCCAGGGCTGTGGGGTGGGAGATGGCTCAGTCAGTGAAGCTCTCGAATTGCAAATGGGAGGATCTGAATATGATCCTTAGGATGTAGGTAAGAATGCCAGCCATAAATAGTGGAATGTGTTATAATCCCAGCTCTGGGGAGGTGAAGGCAGGGGGATTCCTGGGGCTTGCTGGCTGGCAGTCTAGCCTAACTGGTGAATGAGAAACCCTGTCTTTTAATCTTTAAGGAGGTGCAAAGCCTTCCTGAGGATGACACCCAAGATTGTCTTCTGCCCTCTACACGTGCACCTGCCTGCACACACACACACACACACACACACACACACACACGCACATTAAATAAATTAATTAATTAAAATTAAAAGTCTCCAGAATATTCAAGTACTCCATCATTTAAACTGAATCTAGTCTGATTATTCATGGGCAATTTAGCAGCCAACCTTTGAGCAGCCTCTCTCTTAGGAGTCTTTCAGATCCAACTCATCAGGTAGAGCGAGTGAACTGAAGGTGTTGTGAGTGTTTGAAAACAGATGTGTCATGGATACAATAGAAAGTCTTGGTTTTCAAGCTCTGAGATGGAAAAATTATAACGTGAAACTCAGGGGGAGTCTTGACACTTTTGAATACTTGAGTTCTTCAACTTGAAAACTCCCAACTCTCGCATTGAGCAATTTGCACGCTCAAGTCTGACTTAGAATAACAATTAATCCAACAGGCATTTATTGCAAACTGTCTTCAGTTTTCTGAAGAATTGTCAATGGAGACATAAAACTTTGTTGGTTTGTTTGTAAAACAGGTCTCATGTAGCCTTGAATTCACTATGTAGCTAAGGGTGACCTTGAACTTATCTTCTGTCTCCACCTCCCAAATACAAGCTTGTGCCATTACACACACCAACTAGACCTTTGTAAAAAATACTTTATTTATTGTTTTTATTTTATGTGTGTGAGTGTATTCCCTGCATGTATGTAAGTGCATCCATGTTGTTCAGTGTCCACTAGAACTGGAGTTATGGACGGTTGTTAGCCATCATGTGTGTGCTGGGAATGGAACCCAGATCTTCTGCAAGAGCAGTCAGTGCTCCCAACTGCTGAGCCATCTCTCCATCCCCTAGATCTTTTTTTTTAAGCTAATAATTTCAACTTGATAAATACTTTGAAATTTCTTTTTGTAGCCTACTGACTACAGAGCCATGAAATAATATTTTAAATGGTTAACGTAGCCTAAATTTTATACACCGTTCTTGTTTGTTCCAGTTTTTTGAGACAAGGTCTTGCTATGTAGCCAGGCTGATGCTGAAGTCTCAGTCCTCCTGTTTGAGCCTCCTAAGACCCAGGGTCAGAGGTTTGTACTACCATGCCCAACTACACAGCATTCTTTTAAAACAGTATCAACTAGTTCTGGAGAGATGGCTCAGAGGTTAAGAGTGCATACTGCTCTTGCAGAGGACCCAAGTTCAGTTCTCAGCACCCATCTACAGTGGATGGCTCACAGCCCCCTGTAACTCCAGTTCCAGGGGATTTGACATGTCTGACCTCTGCAACCACCCGTGCTCATGTATGCAGACACATAATGAAATAAAATCTTAAAAAAATAAAACAATATCAACTTACCTTGGTAATAGGGCCTTAATTTTATTATACCGTATTATAACAATAACAATAAAAGAATTGGCAAAAGCTGTATCTCAATGACATAACACTTGTCTACCATGCCCTAAGGCCCTGAGTTGACTCCCCAGCTCCACAAAAAAACTAAACAAACAAAAGTCAAGCTAGGTATAGTTTTAAAATTGCACTCAATACTGACCTTCCTTTGGTGTTTTTAAGGAGCGACGTAAATTTGGTCCCTTGGGATGGAATATCCCCTATGAATTCAATTCTGCCGACTTCTCGGCCAGTGTCCAGTTTATTCAGAATCACCTTGATGAGTGCGATATTAAAAAGGTGAGTGGAATTGTTTTAGTGTTTTCCTAGTTTTTTCATTACAGCCTGTGACGTGGTGTGAACTGCCAAGGTCTTGTCCAAAGCCCCTTTCAGAGGAATCGGGTGCTCTAATCAGGTGGGTACTGGCCCACCCACCCACTCCCTCTTCCTTCATCTACCAGCACACTCACAGACTGCCCCCTCCCCCAAAGCTGCCTGTCAACAGAGTAATGGAACTCTGTGCTATGAAATATGCCAGCCTCCCTCACATCACTCCTGAGTGCCATGGGGCACCAGAAGAGGAGGAATGCCTTCAGCCAGGCCTGCCTTCTCTGAACTTCCTCCTGTCTCCTTGAAATACAAGATGCTGTCTGCTAGCCCATAAGGCAGCTCCTTTTCCCCTGAAGTCCTCTCCCCTACCATTTTTGGTAATGCTAAGGCTAGAACCCAGGGCTTCAAGTATGTTCACCAAGTGCTCGGCCACTGGGCTACACCACAGCTGTGAACTCATTT